ATTTGTTAAGCGTTATTATGATCGCGGTTCGCTTGACTTTTCCAAAGAAAGTACTTTGGAAGCTATACTGAACTCCCCTTCACAATCTTCCTCACCCATTTCGCACGTTGGGGAGTTGAACACCTAGTAAACATTGGTATGTGGTTAACCAAATCCTTCACGGTTGACCAGGTCTGTTCAATCAGGGAAGACTAGCTATGCACTAGCGGGTCCTGAGATGTGAGGTTCCCAGAAAAAACCTGGTCTGTAAGGTCTCCAAACAGTTTCAGAGATCAGTTTCCACGGTTTTTTTTCCGCAAATTAGTTAGATAACCCATCTCTGGAGATTCCCAAGCCATGAAAAGACTATTTGCTGCAAGGGGAAACAGTATATGAAGATGTCATCTGATTAGCCTAAACTAATTACTTCATCTGATTATTAATTAAATGATTATCTGATCTGCTACTAGTTTCAGTTGCTTCAAAACAAAGGAATTCTTCAGAGGCTAGATGAACAATGATAGCTTACACTAGTTAGGAATGGATGATTTTCTGGGGGCGCACTTATCCACAGAGAGCGCTCTCATACTCTCATTATCCCTTCTAGAACGCTTCTCAAACCGTCCATCGAGATAACTTATGGGTTTCCCTCTTCTCCCGCTAAAAGAATCGCTCCCTGAAAACAGAGGTGAGCCCGTGATTGACATTTTCAGACATCTCTCTTCCTCGGAATTCAATTTGGTTAATTGTGTGTTAATTTGGTTCACGACTACGCTGCTTACTTCAAGCCTCAGCACAACTGATGGATGCGATAGGATCGAAGAGACTCGAGATTAGGCCCAAGTTCTTCTATTCACTGTTCCCTCTTTCTCAAGGACAGGTCAGAGCGTAGAGTCGCTCAACGAGAAAGCGTGCCGAAATTGATGCAGTTTTGAAGGAGAAATGCAGGATCTCCGGAAACACTGAGAATGGAAAACATCTGTGGACGGCGCACATCCCGAAGCGAATAGCTTTTGCAGAGTACGACCCCCCCACCCATCCTAAATTCTTTTTGTCCTCAGGTACGACCATGCTTTACCATCACTTTTCCCACCGAACATTTCGCTAAGATTCCCCAGTTTTCGAAACTTTCACTCACTTTTCTGAAAACGTTCGCCAGAGTTCTCCAGTTTTCCCCAAAGGAGCGGTCGAGAGGAGTATGTGGAAATGGACCGAGAGTGAAACAGGAAAACCGAGAAAGTATGACAACCGAAACATTTCCGAGAAAAATAAGACCTTGCCCATCCAGCGACCGAACACGGTCCCTCTCGTTGGAAATCCTCAACGTACGAGGAATAAGCGTTTGTTGGGTCGGTGACTCCGAGATAACCCAGCTTTTGGATTTCACAAGTGGCCCTTTTGAATCTACGTTACTCTGAAATTCAGGCTAAACTTGAGCCCACTTCTGTTCGAAGCTCAAAGTCCCGTAAAGGATTTCAGAATGACATGAATCAAGCTAAAGACGTCAACGAAAAAAAACTGAAAATGTTTTTTCAGACGGTAAACCATCTCATCCCATTACCATCAGCTTTTGTAATTGGCTGAACGTTCCACATAGGTGGATAGCATTCGTGAACTTTTCGTTTTGGGCCTTCACTGTTTTGAGGCTGGTTCTCAGAGCTGGGATAACTTGAGAGATAGAATCTTAGCGACAACCTTCGCAGCAGCTTGAGTGACGTAGAGAAAGACCATAAATACTCACCGTAAGTAAGTTAACCAAGCGACGTATAGATCAAAAGCTTGAGTGTACTCTATGATGTACTCCATGGCGTAGATGAAGAAAGCCGTAATTAGAAGGCACGAATCAAAAACTGCCAGTGCCGTGAGGAAAAGATTGTTGGGATTCCGCATCGCCGGCCTGAAAATTGACAAAATTCTGAGTTATTAACTGCACTACAAGATCGGTTCCTTCTCCTGCACAAACAAAAAGGAATCAGAAAGGCAAGAGCGACTGGCATCCATCCATTGCTTGAAGATTCGCCACGTGATCAACCTCCAGCCATAATCTCACTACTAATCTGGGCTATCGATGGCCTGCGCAGGCCAACCAATGTTCAGGTGCGCAGTTTTAGCGCCCTGCGGATTCTTGACATTTAGAGCAGCCCTTTCGAGCTCCCCTCTCCCTGGGCTACTCACCCTTTTCCAATCACCCTCGTCCTAGGCAGGTATTAGCTGGAACACTTGTAAGACTGAGCATAACACCTTATTGTAGGAATTTCTCACGGTACGTAACGGGCAGAGGCAAAAGACCATTGCGACTTTGCCCACGTTGCGTAGTTTCTCAGGCACTACAGAGGAGGGAAATGTGGATGATGACTTGCTCTTCGTCCAGAGAGCAGCGTCATTGAGAGAATCTCACCGAGGAGTCGTACATGGTAAGAGGGAAGGGGTTGCACCTGGTCATGAGAGAACTTTTCCGAACAGTGAAAGAAGTTTCTTCAAGAACTGGTGCAGTTAGAAAAAATGTGGTGTAGCCGTAAGGAGGGTCGTACTCGAAGAGGAAAAAAGAAGGGTGAAGGCGGGAGTCCAACTAGAAGAAGAACATTTAGAGAATTGGGTGGCCCTGAGAGCGCCACTATCGCTTTACCGTGGGTCGTCTCTCTGGGCACACTCTCAAAATGCGCCCCTACTTTGCATTTTTTAAGGGTTGGTTTTTTTCATGCCAGAATTTCACTACCCGCGATTACTACAGCTAATGTCCAGGGATGAATATTTCAGTGGGTCGCACAAGTGCATGAGAAGAGCTGACCGTTCAGAGGGAGCAGGAGATATCAGCTCCTACTGCTTTTCTGAAATATCCATCAGTGAAAAAAATGAGCCAGTTCCACTTGAAAAACAGCTCCAGGGACATTAAAAGACTATTTGCGAGACTAGCATCACTTTAATAAGGAAACTACAACGTGTACGAAAAAATGGTCCCCCACTCTCGAGTTGGATGGGGCAGAAAGCCTGCTTCTATTGCGACCGCTTCAACTTTGTGCAAGCAGTCCCTTGGAAGCCTCTTAAAGCTTCCGGCGTGGAAGAGTGCTCAAGAGCGTTTTCGGATTGTTAGTCCCACTTCTGCGTTCCTTAGCAGTTTTTCTCGCAGCTCACGGATGATTCGCTTAGGCAAACTAAGAAAAACAACTAGTGTTAGCGAACCTCGTAAGAATGAGTGCCGTTGATGCATTTCCAAACAAGCCAAACAATCCAACGAGAGTGCCGGCGACGCTGATGAGAAAGAATTTCACCTGAAACAAAGACTGCACAATTTGTTCCGTCTTTTATACATCCCGAAGACTCCTAGGAAGACTTCGGGACGAGGAACTTCTCTGGAGAGGGTGTGGGGTGTGTACCGCAACTGAAACAGGAAAGATGGAGAAAGTCAGCCATTGAAATATTTTTTCAAAGCCGAATAAAACAGATACGACCCTCTCCTCTCCCTGCCGCGACCATGACCCCCCCCCCCCCCCCCCCTCGCTGAGGTTCTCCAATGCACGACGTGCCCTGGCAGTGTAGATAACATTTACTGCTTCACTACCTCTCCTCTTCTTTACAAAATCCCATAAAGTCACCCGTGATCCAAATAATTTTGTTTGGACTGAAACGGAATAAAAAAGGAAATGTCCTCCATAAAAGGCTCTCTTCAACACCTTGAGCTAAGAGACGAAAACTTTCCTGAAGTTCGAGAAGAGTAGTATAAAAACATTCTCAGCACTGATAACAAACCTCCAAAAAATCATGAGGTTCTAGTCCACAGTCAGCGGAACTGTTCGAAGCGTCAGCCATCACCGCCTCATAATATCTGAAAGGAAGCTTGAACTTGAAGCTTGAAGCTCGACGATTTAAACGACAAAAACATTTGACGGCTTCTCGAATTATTCAGATTCTCTGAGATAATTGTTGCAGCGGTTTCTGAGAATACAGAGCAGAAGATATATGAGGAAAAAACGTGTTCTATGGGTATTTCAAATGTTGCCTAGAATCGATTGCCTATCATTTGTGGCATAATTGATTTGACTAGCACAGAATGCCATTTCAGAGCGCTTTCTTAGAAGAACACCAACAGGGGCAGTTTGATGCCAGTTCGAGTTCGAGAGGCGGAGACACTCGTAGTTGCCGGCGAGTCCGTCTGAAGAAGAGGCGGCATTCAAAGAACTCCTTGTGCAAAAACTGATGCCATGTCAAGCAGATGAGAATGCTTGCTTCTGAAATCCGTCTCACGCGTTCCATCACTAATCCCTGAATCGTATGGGTGTACGTCTTCCGTAGAGAGGTTTTCGAAATATGACCCCATTTCACAGCTCCCATTATCTCTTCCCTCACTTCTTGCTAGTGCTCCACCAAACTTTTGCAAAGATTTGCCGGGAGGGGGGGGGGGAAGCGACACAGATCCTCTACCAGGCATAAAACATAGTTTCGCAGCAGTGGCTGTCAGGAAAGGGGACAAGAGGTATCGCGCGTGAAGCAGGAAAAAAAGAACTGTGAAATCCCTTCTTGAGCCAGAGCACGATCCCCCTCCTTCTTTCAGCCACCAAGCGACCCATTGTAGATACTCCACGTGCGAAGTGTCCTGCAGTGAAGGAGGGCGATCTATCAGCAGCAGATGCTGTTCCGTTTTTGACTTCCACCTTTCAGATAAAAGCCTTGCTGATCGCGGAACAGATCACGTCGTACGTTGGGGATCTCCTAGCGAGGGGCGCGCTCGACGGCAGCTTGTTGGGGGGAAAACTAGACGGTTCCTCCGGAGTGAAGTTAGGCAGTTGGGTTACATTCAAGATGTAACGTAGGACGGGGAAGAGGGGTCACACCAGATGAGGAAATTTAGAGGGTGGGGTCGTATTTCGCAAAAAAATTTAGCAATGACAAGACGCACCCTATGGAAGCCTCATAAAGGATCACTAAGTACAGAAGCGATAGCAGCAATAGACAGCGTTCACACTTTGCGACAGAAAAACAAAAGAATAAGCGATCCATCGCTAGGGAGAATGCGTGCCAACGGAGTGAATGGGCATTCCATGAATGCAGCCCTAGGGTTAAAGGAAAATCCAGTGAGAGTTGCAGAGATGAACTATCGCGAAATTTCACAATTCATATATGAGTATTACAGACGCTCGAGAAGGAAGTGCAATACTAGTACGAAATTAATCTCCGAGTGATGTTCGTTGGCAGATTCCGCAAGGGAAAATGAAATTTGACGTCTGCAAAATGGAGAGTCCTAATGTAGATGGATGCTGCGGACGCTGCACGCCACCGCAAGGGATGTGAGAGGAAGCTTCAATGAAAGATGAGCTCAATGAGAAGGCGCTGCAGAGGTTCCTCTTTTACGGTCGAAGAAAAAGAATTGGCAGAAAGCGATAAGCGATTCCCAACTTTGGCGCTATTTGGCTTAGGAGAGGCATTTCGCACTTTCGCTAGTTCCTTTTGCTAGTTCATGTGAACTAATGTAAACTCATTTGAATACAAAAAACTCCACAATTTGGCCTGTATAGGCTTCGCCGGGCATCCTTTGATGCTCCCATCAAGCCGACAGCGCCCAATTTTTCGTCCATTTATATTCGCAGTAGTTTTTTCGGAGACAAAGTTCATGACTGTAGCAGTAGGTGTTGTGCAAGATAAAAGTACAGATGAGAGAAGATGGAAAATACTTCCTGTGCTACAAGATATCAAGACAGTATCGACCTATAAAGTTATACAGTAGTTTATTGGCAGACTTGGCTGCACTACGCCAGTTCTGTGTGAAAAATCAGACAGGATTACTCAATTATAGCTCCTTTTGTTGCCGACTTCCGGGTGTAATGTGTGTTTCAAGGAGCAGTCGCTCCTCTCCATTTGGTACGCAACATCCAGGGAGTCCGACTCAGGAAAGGGCGGAGCCTCAGAGATGTCAAGCGAGTAGATGATTTGCCTTGAGCCGTTAGCGCTTCCCTATGAGCATCTGAACCAATACTGAGCGAAACTGAGAGAGAGAGAGAGATGGAATGGGATTAAATTGTGAGATA